AGAGGAACATGGAGCTCACGCTGCCTGGTGTGTAGTAATACAGTCCTTTGCCTCTCAGCTAGGAGTTTGGTGTTTTTTGCCAGCATTTTTGAGACCTCCCAATCATGGCCTGCTAATTTGTTAGCCTGTAAAGTGAGTAAAATCTCAGACCCTCCATATACCTTTGTAATACCAGGGAAGAATTTCTCAAATATTTAAGGAACAGAAATACCCAATGCTATTTATCACAGAAGAGGGACTTTCTATTTAATTATAAGATCTGTAGAAAATCTCTGATGTCAGCAATTTTTTAAAAGTACAAAATAGAATAGTCAATAGACATTCTAAATTAAATGATTATAAATTGAGTCCAATAATATACTAAAAATTTCAACAAGCCATAACTATTTAAGAATGATGTTTACTTGAAAACTCAGGATATAATTATTTTAATTGATCAAAAAGGGGAAAATTCAGGTATTTTTGATGTTACTCTGTAGTGCAGGAAGGCATTGTAAAAGTGGCATTTCCACTGATAGATGAAGGTTGTCTGGAGAAATTGCAGTATCTAAATTGCGTTCAAAGAAAACAATACTCAAACATAGAAAAAAACTGAAATGGAATAATAGTCAAAATACTGCAATTGATGCCTTGTCCGTAGTTGAAAAATAAAAGTTTGAGATGGTGGTCGATTGCCAGGGAAACAAATAGAGCATCTTTTCCAATTTCATACTGAGAGTACCTCAACATTTTATTAGCAGGAATTCTGGGTCAGAACGGAAAGAGGTGACACAACATGAGAGAGATACAAAAGGAGAGGAAATTTCACATTTAAAGAGGAGATTCAAAATATATTAAATTTATATTTAGACAGCTCCCATTCAATTGATCCATCCTTCCTCTGTGTTTTGGTGTCATTCCGCCCTGATTTCTCCGTAGTCAGGATCATTGCCACACTGGGTTTGTGACAAAACAGGAAGCGTTTCCTAATACAAAATTCACAGTCCTGCCACCAGTCCTCATGCAAGAATATTCATTTCTCAGAGCTATAGATTTCAACAAGATACTGTGGAAAATGTAGCCTGATGTGCCTAATTCATATTACTACATGTGATTCACTGATTCTTCATCATAACAGAAGAACTTTTAAAGAAATACTAATTAAGTAAATAACTTTTAATTTTTCCAGTTTTCATGATACATTAAAATGGTTTTGGCTACAAGAAGGTCCTCATGAAGGAAAATTATTCATGCCTGGAAAATACATTGTTCAGTTCTTCTGCTTCCAGGTTTATTACACGCTCATTTCCTAATATTGAGACCATGGGCTACATTGTGTTTTTTTTTTTTCTCGTAATAACTCCTAATATTTCAGGATCCTGCCCAGAGGCGGTATTCATTGTTTGTTATTTGAGTGGTGTCAGTATGTTCATGTCTCTTTCCAAATTTTCTAAGCTCCTGCTGATGTATTTTTTTTTAAACTGAGGCTAGTTTGGTAACCCAGAACTGAGAGCCTTGAACACAGTAATGTGTGGGAATAGCGCAATGTTAACTGGTCACGAGGTAATAATCTTTACATTTATCTTAGAGATTAAAAGTGTTTCTGGTATTTTGCTGTCTCAAGACTTGACTGTCCAATGAGGTGGTGAGTCATTCACTCTGTAGGAAGCTAAGACTTTCCTATGTGAAAAGGGTCACATGACAGTTCAATAGCTAAATGTGGCTATAACCAGGGAAAGAGATTGTTTCCTCAGAGAGGGGAATGAGAAACAAAATAAAAACTCGTAAACTCTAGAACGCACTGCGAGATTGTCTCTGCTAGAACTTAATGTGGGAATTGTTCTTCCAGGGTAGCTCATCATAGTCTTTCATATAACCTGAATTACAGAGAAGAGAGCAAGGCTATACACAGACACACAGAGAGCTACTGACAGAAAAGAACAGTGAGCCTTCTCATACTACTATGACATTAAAATATTGTAAACTCTAGTTTTGCATGGATCTTTACACAAGCAAGGAAAATACCCGTAGCTAGAACTATAGCGCTATGATGATATGCTGTACGGAAACTGTAATCTTAAACTATTGCATCTACAAAGTACAGAATAAACTCTCAGTAAAAATGCCATGACATGAAAAACTCCCATGAAACATATATATGAGATTGAGTTTAACTCCAGAACCACATTATATTATATCTGAAGTTTGTGCATATGTATTTTTGAAACAAGGTCTTGCTCTGTAGACCAGGTTGGCCTTGATCTCACAGAGATCCTCCTGCCTCAGCCCCTTGAGTCCTGGGATTATAGGCATGTGCTACTACACTCAGCTGGTGTATATATATTTTAAACTATTATTAGCTGTTTGTACTTCTAATCTGGTGGTATTTTCTTCCACCCTCTATTAATTCTATAGTGGCTTTTATAGTCTTTTAGTAAACAATCTCTACAGATTATTCATAATTGTGATCAATTCTTTTGCCCAGAGGGGACACCCAAGATTAGTGCCACATTTATAACAATGCCTTTGCAAGACAATTTTCTTTCCAGGAAAACCTTACATTATATATAAATGTGCAAACTTAGCACACCTAATTTCTAAACAGGGTTTAGATTCTTTATTTATTTATTTAGATCCTTTATTATGAAGGAACTATATTGTCTTTCTACTACTTAACACCAATAACTGATCATAATCATATATAAGTAGCACATTAGTAGTGAGGCTATTAGTCACTAAACCTTACATGTTTTGGTCACATAGGGGAATGCATAGCAAAGATCTAGCCAATAAACCAATGAGATAATTTCATATAAATTTAAGGTCGTTTGACAAGCGTTACTGAGATACCCATTTTGTAGTATCTTTACGTGTTAGAGAGCAGGAGACAGGTTAACTATTTCACCGCAGGGGACAGACCACGGCAAATTTCTCATATACTATATTGGAATGAGAAAGAATAAGAAAGAAAGAAAGAAATTCAGCTTCTGTACAGAGCATGAATATTCACTACCTAGTAGTTTGGAGCAGAATGGAAAGTATCTCTAAATGCTCCGTTTCTATTATCGTCATGCAAAGGCACAGAAAAATTATCAAAAATTATCATCCATGCACCCAACAAGTATTTAGGGAATGCCTCCCCAGTGTTAGATGCAGTTCTGAGCTTTCGGGTTAGAGAAAAGGATGTGACAGAAAATTCCCTGCCTTCACAGAGAAGTCGTTCTTTTAGTAGATCAAAGCAGAAAATAAACAAGAGTAAATGGGTGAACAAAACCAGTTCGGATAGAGCTGAGAACAAACCATGAGACCTTTTGATGCTTTCCAGGGGCGGTGGGCGGCCCACCTGGAAACACGAAGGCCAGGCCTGGCATGTCGATGAAAAGAGGTGTAGATCTTCATAATCTAGGAGCTGGCTGAACGGGATTTTCTTCTCATCTCTCTCCTGCTGGCCGTATTCTGCCATTTCACTAATTATTATTGTTTCACTAAAGTGCTGAAATGCCAGTCAATAAATGATTATTGGGATCCCCCTGTGTTCTCAGCACCCTTACTATTGGAAAATGTGGTTAAATTCAAATCTCTAATTCCACTGCTTTGATAAAATACGAGGCGAGGAATGACAATGACACTTAAGCCTGTAAACAACTTACGTCTTCTTGTGTGAAAGGTGCTTTTCAGAGCAAAATTCCCCAGTACATCACACCTCACATTCCTGAGACCGCGTCAGGGCTCCGGGAATCCCTCCGCAAGGAGGCATCGTTTATTGCCACTAGATGGCACCAATTATTTTCAAAGTTTTAGGCAAAAAAAA